ATAATAATAATAATAATAATAATAATAATAATAATAATAATAATAATAAATCGGCTTTATTTGACAGATAATTACAATAATACAAACACAAATAAAAGAAAATAATTCAACCTAACTTATGGCGAAGTCTAGCCAAGGCTACTCCACTCAACCATAAGGTAAGCTATATCATAAAAGAAAGTATTGAAATTCAAAGTAGAATGACAACACACAAACATCTTAACATAATAGGTATTTAAATATGTACGAGTATTACTGTTTAAAAAATAATAAAGAAATGAATAGCACAACAAAATTAAGTATCAAATTAAGAATCACGTTAGCAATTTACGTAGAATGCTGCCTGTTCAATAAATATAGTTTAACTTTATATTTAAATTTGTTGATGTTAAATAATTTGACAGAGAGTTATAAAATGTAATAGCGTTGTATGTAAAACATCTTCTGAAAAAAGCAGTTCTATGATGGAGCCTCGTGAATTTGTTTGTAAATCTAATATCTCTAGAATGAACATTACCACGCTGTATAAAATTAGTTTTTAAAGAATGATGAGAAGGAATAGTAAGAATCTTATGAAAAAAATTACAAAGATGGTGACGCCTACGATTTTCCATGTTGAGCCACTTGATCTCCCCAATAACATGAGATATATTTTCTTAGACCACTAATAAGACGACAACATGAATTTTGTACTTTTTTGAATCCTGTATTTCTCCTGTTGTGTAAGACAAGGACCATATACGTAGTCACAATAATTGAAATGGGAAAGAACAAGTGACTCGTATAACATGATTTTAAGTTTTTTGTTAAGAACTTTTGTAGTAGTTATTTAACATAGCATCAAAACGCAACTTACAGTCAAGAATTACTCCTAAATTTTTTGCATGGGTAGTAATGGGAACTGGAATACCATCGATCATAACCTCAAAATTACTTCTTAAAATTCGGAAATTATTTTCACTACCAAAAAACAAAACTTTCGACTTATTTGAGTTCAATTTTAAATTATGCTCATCCGATAACAATTTTATAGTTTGTAACTCAGAGTTGATGACGTCATTTGCCTGTCAAAAATCATTAATTTAAATGAAAATAAAGTTGTGTGTCATCGGCATATGCTTGAAGTTTGAAATATCAACTAGAATAATTTTTTGACATTATTAAAATAAATAATTACTATACAGGATGTGTTACTATAATGGAGAGAATCAATGTAATTAATAAAATATTTTATTAAGTTTTCAAGGAAGTGCTAACATTTTAAATAAAGCACATTGGTCATTTGATATAATTACTAATATTATAATTTTTTATTTTTCAGGCTGGACAAAACCTTCACTTGTACGTGACTGCTTTCGATGGGCAACTCCTTGCGAAGACGGAAGTTAACGTAAACATTTTGAATGAGTCATTGCGTTATAACCCTTCGAAATCCAATAGACCTCCATTTTCCCTCGGCCAGAATGCGAATATATTCAAATATCCCGGAGTTCTTCCACCGAAACCACCTCCACTTCCTCCATCACTGCCTGATTACACCAATAATCCCCCTCCCGAAATATCTAATAATCCCTATATACAACGGCAGCATATTTTCCAACAAAAAACTTATCCAGAACAAAATACCAGAAAACCTGAGAGAAAATCTGACAAAAATGTAGCAACCATTCTCAAACCTGTGGAAATTGAGAAAGAGGTTGACAATAATTTGTCGGAGAAGACTGAAAGTATCACTAATACTCAGAAACCCACAACTGCCAGGCCAGTAAATAAAGACATAGAATCAACAAATGAATTGTTAGCAGTTGATCAGTCAGTTAAGTCTCTTCCAGAATTAACTGCTACAGTTATACCTATAGCGTCAGTGTTTGCAGTATTTTTAACAGTCGGAGTTATCGCCATGGTGTTCAGGAAAAAAATATACTTAGGAAAGCCCAAAGATTCTAAGGAAGATATGGTAAGTTCTAATCATAAGACACTTTTCTCTTTGAGCAAATATGTGACAATAAAATTCAAATATCAAAGATAAAAAAACGTAAATTAAAAACATACTAAGATATCAAAAAAATAANGAGGAAAGGAAAATTATTATAATTATTTTTTGCTTGAATATTCCAAATAGTTTTTATAATGCCTTATTTATGTATTTCTCCATTTATTTTCCTCATATCGTAAACTCGATGGGTTAAAATTACTGCAAGCTCTTCTGACGTAGTTGTTTCACATATTTCATATTTTCTTGCTTTGCAGAATTGTATAAATTGAAACTATGTCGATGCTTTCTTTGTTCAACATATTATTTGAAGAGAATTTTTGCTAAGCACATTTCAGTTAAAACTTTTTCGTTATATTCGGAGTAACACATTTAAAAACGGCAAAATTATATAATCTAATAAGTTATCATCGGAGACAACTCTACTTGGTCATCATTTTCAGAAAGATGCAAAAAGTATAAACATGTTGGTACCATCATAACTTCTTTCCTACCTATGAAATTTAATTTTTTCTCCACTTAAACGTCTCTTTATGCAATTTATCGCAGAACAGGATTGCACCATATTTAGTTTTTACGAATCTTTCACATACACTAACTAAATCACACAAAAATTCAAGAAATCAATCATCAATACATGACATTTACTTCAAAGTTTGTTTAAGGCATTTTGCAACGGTATACCCGTGTACCATCATTTGTTTTACCGGTATTTGCCTCAACTAGCTTCATCTGCCTTGTACACATCAACGCGATTGACCTCTCTTTGTAGGGCCAGTCCATAGTTTACTAAGTCTATGCGAAGACTGCATTGCCTGGTGTTCTACCGGTTGTCACATGGCTACTAATCGATAAGTCAATAGGAAAAGATGCACATACCTGTCTCAGTCGATTTGGTGTTCATTAATGACTATTCTTAGGTGATTCTCTAGGGTCCGGTTAAATATCTTCATTGTCATCACCATTTCGATAAGATGTTTGGCATTTACTGTCTTCTCAAACACATAATGTTGAGAATCCCGATTGTGACACCAAGTTGTATCAAATTTCCTTTACTTGACAGAATTCAGTACAAATAGTTTACAAACTTTAACAACTTTGACACTTCGCCACAACAAATTACTTAACTTAACCTTTCATAAAATCTCCCCTGTGCATTAGCGCGGCCGTTTTTATTTTTTCGTTGTTTCGCGAAATTTCCTTAGGGTTCTAAGTAGGGCAATTTCTAAGCTTCTAAGAACATAAAAGAATGCAATAGAACATATTCTAGAAACACCATGAAACAAATAAGTAATCAAGTGTTTGAACAAAGTACACTGGGGCGAATTTTGCTGCAATCTCATATGCCAAGTTTGATACAAATTATTTTGCAGCACTTCATTTACTAAAGATAACTGAATAGCTAATTAATTTTGTATTATACTAACTCTATCTGTTTTGAAAACCAGATTTTGAGATACGACATGCTCTTATTTGGCACATTCCTTACAAAATTGTTTGATGTCAAAGAATTTCCATTACTTTGCCATTAACTCCATGCATAGAAGCATGCGTAAAAAGAATGGTTTACTTAATAATAAAAAATATTTTAAATGTTCAATGTTTTGTAATATTCGAAGTTTTGTATGTATTAATCATATTTTCTTCCAATAACCATATTTACTTGCAATAATTAGAACACTTAAATTAGTATTAAGTAAGCTGTAACCAAAATAGGATCAAAACAAGACATAACTTTTTGCCAAGATAAATATGTGAAATGTCACTTGTTAAATATAAAATAAAAGAGGAAAACTGAATTTATGGATTACAAAACCATGATAAAATTGGTAGTCATCCTTTTTAGCCATCATAAGAAATTTAAAATTTTAGGAATAAAAATATTTAAATGTAAACGTAACTAAAACCAGGTAAATATGTAATAGAGAGAAAATTTACATAATAAAAATTATAGTAATTAGATATTGTATTTTAACTTGTAAATACCATAAAGAGTAAATTCATGACAATTAATTAGCCTTAATTTCATGCTAATTTTCACATATTAATGACGTAGTATGCGCTGTATCATTAATTTTTAGTGCAGATCATATTTTTACATACGTGAAACTGTAATACAATTTTGGCAATTGAATTGTTAGTAATGTTGAATTATTTTCAAGGTAGGAGAGAACGGGCAAAGTGAAATGAAATTTGATTTTTTCGCAACTAATATCCCACAAAACGATGAACAAATATTTAATATTAATCAAAAGTGTGACGTTATTAGAAATTATCTTATGATCGCCTTAGTTTATACAAGATGTAACAACAACGTTGCGACAAACTTTTAGGCTTAATTCTTCCGATAGAAGAAACAAATAAACAAGATTAAGGATTTTTCCTAAAACAATTCCTAAGAGCTCATAAGATCAGTCAAAATTGCAGGTGGAAAACAGTTATTATATACAAGAAAATACGGACGATAAACCTTCATTTCATACGTTGTATGGTTAGGTACATCCCGTAAGATTATTTTACAATTTGCTCATTGCGCTTTGCTCCACCTTTCCCTATATTGTTTAAAATTTGTAGCAATAATTTTTCCATAGTAACATATTCCTTTTTCTTTTAGAGAAAAGAATCGTCAGGAGGAATAGTTCTCCGTGAGAGTCCAGGATTAAACCTTCAGGAATGGAGAGGAGTAAGAGCGTTCAGTAATCGTTATGAACCATGGCAGAATGACTCAAATCATACTCAGGTACGGGATGTGTATAATTTAGTAGGTTTAATGCCCTAATTAGGCACTATATAATTATATAGGGTGGTCCGAATTTTATGCAGGAAACTTTGAGGGCAGATAGATCTCATTAAAATAATATGTGTTTGCCTTATAAACATAGGTCTGGAACGGCGCCGTTTTAGAGATACAAGGTGTTGAAGTTGTAAAAAAAAATTGATTTTTTGTTGATATCTCCGGAATCTATTGACCGATCTCAATAAAATTTGGTACATATATTGTATGATAGTAGGCCTTATATTCCCTGAAATATGAGCTTTAAAGGTTCAACCAGTGGTGTACAACTGGACAGGGGTCACCCCATTTTTTACAAAAAAACCTACGCCACTGCATTTTTTACATGTCATTGTAACTGATTTATATTTTAATGCACAAAATACGTGAAAAAGGTAACTTTAATTTTTTCCCTAAGATTCGCCGTTCTCAAGTTATTCATACCAATACAGTCCCCTTGTGGCAGACACTTCTAACGATAATATTACAAGAATATTCGTTTAAGTTTAAAAGTAAGTGGAATTTGGAAGCATATCAACAAAATTATTTACACTCCTTTCTACATCACCTGTGAGGTAGTGTGCGATATAAACAAAAAATCAATTTTTTTAAAACGTCAACACCTTGTATCTCTAAAACGGAGCCGTTCCAGACCTATGTTTAAGAGGTAAACACATATTATTTTAAAGAGATCTATCTACCCTCGAAGTTTCCTGCATAAAATTCGGACCACCCTGTATAAGAATTATAGGCTTTGTGGACACCATTTCGAAACCAAATATATTGGTAAAGGGAATGTAAAAATAACCTTATTGCCAAACGGAATACATATACCGTTTCCTCAACTTAGAAATGGGCAAGAAGAGCTAGAGGCAAAAATTATGGAAGATTGTCCCAAAGAAGTTATTGCATTGTCAGGTACCTATTTTTAAAAAACTATTTCAAATATTGCAAAAAAATATATCTGTTTAATAAAAATATTAGTTGTAAAACATCGTGTTTTATTTTTTTTATATATTATACCTAATTTTTCTACATTTTACCACAGTTATCCTTGTATTATATGAACAATGTTTGATGCTGATGCTGTTCGTTCAGTGTACATCTATTCGAAAGTGTAACTTCTCTCAGTGTAAACGATTGTGTTTCCGTCAAATCGGTCGACTCTAGCGTGACCACAAAACATCAAANTCAACACCTTGTATCTCTAAAACGGAGCCGTTCCAGACCTATGTTTAAGAGGTAAACACATATTATTTTAAAGAGATCTATCTACCCTCGAAGTTTCCTGCATAAAATTCGGACCACCCTGTATAGCACAATAAATTTGAGATACCTACACCATGAAATTTGATGGATTAGTACATTATTTGGTCAAAATGTTGCAATTGAATTGAAATGATACCTATATCAAAGAAATATCTTGTAATTTTATGTTTATTATATTTAGATATATTATTTTTAGTTTTTATTTTTATAATTATTTATTACTAACTGTTTACTTGATATTGCTCGTGGAATTCAACGCTAGTTGGGGCACGTAGCTCATAGAGTAGTTATTTCTCGCAATATCGACAGGAATATTGTCTGTAGGTTTAGATATTTTGGTTTGGTATCGCGGAACACTATTTGACTTCATCCAGATTTAAAAAAAATATATTTTTCTGATTTTTTTTTAAATGGGACCCCATAATTTTGACCCCGGAAACGGAAAGAGCGGAACATTTTTCGTTCGGATATGACCTTGAAATGACCGTGTGGGTCAAGATCAAGGTCAAATATCAAAAAGTCCCAAAGTGAACCATATATTTTTAATTATTAACTGTTGTCCATTTAACTAAGTCAAATTAATGTGAAAATGAATCACTAACTCTTTTGAAATCACTATGTATTTTAATTACAATTTTTAGGGAATATTTTACCACATGCCCATATTTTAATTCGTACATAGTTTCCACGGCCACCTTCCAGTTCTAGCTTTTCCTATGCATTGGATAATAAGATTGCTTTGTTAGTTGACAATATTAAATTTAATTTAGAAGCTCCAAGATACATACTTACGCGTGCTCTCACATACCGCTTGACTAACTTTATGATTATAAGCCACGTGACCAGTAATTTTGTTTGGAATAGTAATTAAATATCTTTCATGTTGGCATGTTTTCGGTAAAATTCATTCATTCATTAAAAGTTATTAAAACAATAAGATAAAGATAACATTAAAACACAACATTCTGTTTCACTGGCTGTGATTATCACTTTGTGGCCATTTTTTTAACCATTAACGTTAATAATTTGTTGTTTTTTTTAATCGAAATAATTTCGAAATTATAGCTTACCTACATCGTTTTTTATAATAGCAGTTACGCACATTTGAGTATTTAAAGGTATTCTAGAATAAATAAACTTAATTTTTTTTGCTAAATATGAACTAACTAAAATATTTTTTACGATTTAAGCCTACTTGATTTTATCAGAAAGCCAATATCTACCGAGATACAGACTTCTGAATACCACAAAATACCACAAAGATGCTGATTTTTGAAGTTGGTTTAAATCGTAATAAGTTTAATTACACTAGAATCTATTTTTCTCAAGTATGTGTTCCAAAAAACATTTGAAATATCTACTAACCCAAAAATATTGCAATCTGTGTTTAAACTATTCCTAGCGACTTTTGGCTATCCCAGAATTTCCCTATGCCTATGTATTATTGAAAAATCTTCAAATGTGGCGAACATTTGTAATCAAATCAAAAAAAAAAAAAAATCGAAGAAATCAGTTTGGTAACCCATTAATTACTGGTTTCGTCAGACGAAGCTTTAGATGACATTTTTTGCAAGTAATTGTAATTCTCTCTGTATAATCGGATAGCTGTTGCTACTTCAAGTAAATATCTTAGTAAACCCTACTTTAAATTGTATATCCTTTAATCTGCTCAAGTAGGATCTACATAAAACGTTGTTAATTCAAGTGGTTGAGGTGGATATCATAAAGAAGCCGCATGAGTTTTAGTGCTGCTGCATATTATTATTTATTACTGCCAGAAAATTGCTCCGTTCTAAAGACCAAACAACACGTTCTATGCTTTTTATTAGTTATTCATGACAAACTTTAATTAAAAATCCATGTATAATATTTTATCTTTAACCTTTTACTGTTGTAGCTGGACAATCAAGAATCTATTGAAATAAAAAATATTGATCAATGGGAATTTCCAAGACATCGTTTGAAATTTTTCAACATATTAGGAGAAGGGGCATTCGGTCAAGTTTGGAAATGTGAGGCTGTAGATTTAGACGGTAGGTGTTCGCAAACTAATTGACACAATTATGAAATACAAAGGAACATTTGCTGTATGAATTTTTACCTATAGGAGGCATATCAACAAAGTAAGAGTATTTATTTTTTTTTAAATCGAAATATTTATGAACAATTTACATATTCATCAAGCACTATTTTTCGACGTAGTCGCCTTCAATCTCAATGCACTTTGTGAGCCGAGGCTGACCTTTCTGATACCTTTGTCAAAAAAATCTCCCGCGGATTCTCGGGACCATTGTTTCACGGCACTGTGGACGTCATCGTCGGTAGAAAACCTTGTTCCACCCATAAACACCTTCAGAGAAGAGAAAAGATGAAAATCAGATGGTGCCAAGTCAGGACTGTGAGCAGGGTGGTTGATGAAGTTCCAACCGAATAAATACAAAAGTTGCTTTGTGCATGGCGTTAACCGTGTAGGCGAGCGGTTCACCCTTAAAAAAAAGGCATGAACCGACTAAATTTTTAAAACAAAAACCTACAGCTTGAAAGTTTTTTTATTTTATAAAGTGTATTTTTCTGATAATTTACATATTTTTTAAATATTTTTCACATTCAATTATAAATATCTCGGAAACAAAGCATTTTTCGAATTTTTGTCAAAGAACAAAAAAAAGTGTTTATTTTGGTCCATTTTCATGCCTTTTTTTAGGCGTGAACCGCTCGCCTATAAGGTGACTTACATAATAGCATTTGGACGGGTGATTGACTAATGAAAGGTTCACATCTTTTTTTTTGTAAAATGTGCCGTTCGAGGTCGAAAGTCCAAAAATCGGTTAGGGGATTTGTTAGTATGGTTGAAAATATGCCTAATTAAAAGTTTTACGCAAGTTCGCGCTTATTTGAATGAAAAATAGCCAACAAATTAGATCCGACATTTTCTTATTTATGTACTTGTTGACAAATTAGAGTAAAATAATGACTTTTATCTACGTTGTGCTGCTAACGAGCTATTTACATTGACGCTGTATTCTACGAAAAAAGCTCTAAAGGCGACAAATGTTACTTTTTGTTGAAATTTCATATTAGTAGCAACTATGGGGGAATCAATTTTTATGCCCGACATTACAGGAGGTTTGAAGGTCAATTTGATTCAGAAAAAAAAACGTTAATCTTCTTTTTGTTGTATCGATATAATCTTTCCTGAAAGTTTGTCGCAAAGTCTTTGTAGCAACACGTACATTTTTCAAAATTTTAATGNAAGTACACTAATTTCTTTTTTATTTAATTTTTTAATAATAAGTTTTCCGTTATTTTCGACAAGTTCTTGAGTTGAAATAAGCGTTTCATCATCAATTTCGGATAGAACATTCTGACATTCGTCTGAGCACGCACAGACTGCACAGCATTTCGGGTTCGATGACAAACAGTTACAATTTTTCATAGAACATTTTCCATTACACGAACAAAAATATTTTTGAAGCATATCTAACGCAGTTTCTCCTTCGAAATAATTAAAATCCAAACAACCAGTTTCGATTTTCCATCCATGTGTCAATGGATCTAGAGTTACAATGTCACTATTTGTAGACTGTTTTTTTTTTAACCGCATTAGACCTTCAATAAAATAATTGACCCATACCAAAAAAATATATCTTAAAGAAGAAGATCTGCCGATTATTATGTTTTTTTTAGAATTAAACTCTGTTCAGTAATTTTTGAGAAAAAAATTTCGAAAATTTGTCGATTTCGTCACATTTTTCACATTAAATTGTAAATATCTCGGAAACGAAGCATTTTTCGAATTTTTGTCAAAGAACAAAACGTGTTTATTGTTTAAGTGTCCATTTTACAATAAAAAACTTTTCAGTTATTCGGCAAGTAATTTTTATTACTACTTTTTTGTTTATAACAATTGACAGACCACGCCGAAAAATATAAAAAAATACGTAAATTATCAGAAAAATACACTTTATAAAATAATAACGTTTCATGCTGCAGGTTTTTGTTTTAAAAATTTAGTCGGTTACCTTCATTTAGAAGCATCTTTTTAAGGGTTAACCGCTCGTCTAGTGTGGGAGCATCTATTGTCATGCGCAGTCCCTTCGTTAAAATTCCCCTTCTTTTCTTCTGTATCGCCCTACGCAGTGTTTTTAGAGTTATATAGTACCGCACAGTATTAATTGTTTCCCCCTGGGACAGAAAGTTAATGAGGAGAATCCCTTTACGATGCCAAAACACAGTTGCCACGATTTTTCGGGCTGAAACAACGGTTTTGATTTTTTTCCTTGATGATGAAGATGGATGCCGCCACTACATTGATTGTCTTTTTATATTAGGGGTGTAGTGGGTCACCCACGTTTCGTTGCCAGTCACAATACAGTCAACGGTGGGATTCGGAATAGCAGCACTCACTTCAACACGCCACTACAACAATAGTTCTCAAAGATAAATGGATTTTTCAAATGTAGAGACATCAAGAAAGTATTTTTATATATGATATATCTGTCAAAATAAACAATAAAACAAATGTAGCACTATTTCTTAAAATGATTACTTCAAAGATTGGATGTGAAATGCAAATTTTGACCTATTACTCAAGAACTAATGAAGACAAATTTTATGTAAAATTACCATAATATTCGTGTCGATGCTGCTATACGGAATACGTTTGTAGTAACAATTGTACATACTATTATTTCATTCATAATATTCTGCACTGAAACTTGCTATTTGTGGTTGAACAATTTCCGGACTGATCTCCCTGTCTTCTTCAGAAGAAACTCTGAAGCTCAGTGGTCACTAGCATGAAAATTGTTCGATCATTGACAACTGTCCCGGAAGCCTGCAGCCTTCAGTTTCAGAGTGGGATTTTATATGGTTAAGTATTTTGTAGTAATTAATCAATCCAATCATCGGTAGTGTAGTCAACCGAAAACGTTGTTATCCTATAACATCCGTGGCGCACACCGGCTGATGCCTGAAAACTACAAAGCTTCTCCGAAACTGTCAGATGTTATTAACGCGTGCCATGTCATCATTATTTAAGCATGTTATGCGATTCTAACGACACATCAGAGTAATAGCGGTTCACGAAAATTCTCTTCAAACTTTCAGGAAGTTATCTCTATCCTTGTTATTCTAATAGTTTGAAAGATTGATATGGTTAGATCCAGTGGCGGTTTTACCATAAGAGCTGCGGAGCTGCAGAACACATAAAATTTTATGTATTTAATCATATTAAATGTCAACAAAATATTTAAAGAATCCAAATGTACTCGCGCTAAAATAAATCTAGGAGCTTATATTATTATTTATTGCGACGCGAGCTACGCTCCTTAATATATGCAACCTCATATACACAATGTGTGGACAGCGAACAATTATATGCGTCCTTTGTTTTTANCGGTTTTTGCACCTGTTTATTCGTTTTACTGCGGCGTCTTTGAAAATACCCAGATGGCATGACATAACATTCCTATTTTTTGATAAGCTTTAGATTATTCAGTTATTAAATGTTTGAAATTATTTGTCTTTGCGGAAAACACTATTTAAAGAAAATGGGGCCCTTAAGAATTATGGAAGCATGAATTGTGTATAATACTCCTGCCTCATTTATTTGATAAATTCGTATGCAAGGTGTCTCAGTTGTATTGTTCCAATGGCATATCTTCATTACCTAAAACATAAATTTTAAATTTGGGGTATCCGACATATACCTAAACTTCTTTAAATTGAGACTAACATTAAAATTCTTTCACTTCCTGTTTAACTGGAAACGACCGTAACTTTTTAAAATCGTAAATTTCGTGAAGTATTACACTTTGTATTTAGACTTCAAAACAGAATTGAAATTGCATTTTAAATGTTTCCAAAATTGTCATTGTACAAATCAAAGCGATTTCCGAAAACTAAAGCAGGCTTTGAAATTATTTAAATAAATTTGATTGTATACTTTGACTGTTCATGAAGTGTTATTAAAATTTGTATTAATTGTTGCTTCAAACAAAATTGGTTCGTATTCAAAATGAATAACTACGATTTTACAAATCGGGAAAAAATAAGATATGATCCTGATTTATAAGGAATGCATAAAAAACATGCATGATGCCTTCCGTGTTTACGGAGAGCGGTATCTCGACAGATGTATGCCAAGTGCTATGTACTTTACACGTCTGGTTTCAAATTTAGGTACATGTGGGGCTTTCTAAAAAAAATCATTAAAAGAGAGACTGTTAGTGCTTAATCACATTTTTTAATTCGAGAAATTGAAGCAGAATGCGATATATCGTTCTTCTATTCAACGAAGTCTAAAATGCGGCAAATTCAGACCTGACGTTTCATGCATGGCTAGCGACTGTCCGTAAAGATGGCATTATTACATAGACCTAGTAAACTACATTATTACCTAACTCAATATTAGGTTTGTTTCTGCAGCAGTCTCAAACTGTTTTCAATTTATCAGATATATTCGGCCAATTAAGTTGTCACATACTTTCAGCGAGTATAAAGTTACGAATCAGTTGGTTAAATATCTCTGATAGTTTCAAATCAGTCCTCAACTGCTGCAAAAACAGACCTATTATGATCAGATGAAAGCCGTTATCATTACTATGGAACTGTCAATCGACACAATTACCATTATTGGTCTGTAGATAATCCTCATTGGACCATTCCTTCAGAACGAATTTCCAAATTTTTCTGAAAATATTCCACTGAATGCAGAATGAATGAGCCAGAAGGTATTTTCAGGCACGATGGTGCACGCTCTCACAACTCTAGAATTCTAGTTGCTTATTTAAATCAAATTTTCCTTAATAAGTAGATCGACATCCCAGTTGAAGAATTCGTGCGCTGGCCAACGGCAAACAAACACAGCCGGACTGGGCGACCAGCCATAAATTTCAGTTGTCGAAGAATTGCCTAGTAGTGCAGTGCAGCAATGTGGAATTATTTAATTCGTTATAGGCACCTGCTATTAAGCATTCATACTACAATTGCGGAAGGCAGAAATAAGAGTGATATTTTGTTTACTAATATTATTACAACATGGCACTTTGGAGACCTTTTGAAACGGAACAAAATGAAACACTGCCAGATAATATTGAATTAGTAAAACTGATTTAAAATTAAAAAATAAAGATTTACATGTTCAATGTCAGCGTCCCATTTTAAATATTTATGATTATTTAAAAAAGGAAGAAAATGAAAAACCAGATAATAAAATTATAAATTGAATTTCGCATATTAACAAGTTTCAGTGCCACAATTTTTCGTGTTTTAAACAAGGTGTTATAGATCATTGTCTAAAGAGGAAGCGAAAACAAAAATTTAAAAATATCGATGACATGACCAGAATTACGATTCGGCGGACAATTTATAATTTATACAAAGAAAACTGAGGACATAAATAATTAAAATATGTATGTTGTTGACCAAATGAACATTACTAGGCGTTTTTATACATGTTTAACTGACTCCGGAAGCACTACAATTCATTTAACATTATTTTTCTATTATATCACCTTCAATAAAATATTTGTAAATCATATTTTACAAAGGTCTTGAAAATACAAATTCTGGAAAGTGTATCTTTGTTAATTTGAAATTTAAATTCAAAATAATGCATAATTTTCCATAATTCCAATTTTGAAAACATTTAAAATGCAATTTCACTTATGGTTTGAAGTCTAAATATAGTGTCTAATATTTCACGATATAGGGGATGTTTGTAGAATTGAAATTTTAAGAAAAATATAGAGGGTGTCATTTAAAATAAAAAAAGTTACTTGTTTCCGTGTAAACCGGAAGTGAAAGGCTCAATTTAAAGAAGTTTAGGTGCAAATTTCAAATTTATGTTTTTTTTAAGTAATGGAGATGTGTCATTCGAACAATATAACTGAGACACCTGGTATAGACTCTCTGAAGAGCAAACAGTGTTGCAACCTTTACTTTCATATGATAACATTAGCAAAAAGTTGTAACAGTTCTTACTAACTAATTTATGTTATATTTTGAAAGCCTTTGTTTAGTGACAAAAATATCTTAAAGTAGGCCACGATAACATCTTTTAAGAACCAAAATCGATCTGTTCGAATGCTTTTTCCCAAAATCTATACATTGTAATTTGTCTTATGCAAATATACGTGTTATATTGGTCCTAAACTTAAATGTGTTTTGGAAGCCTGACAGCACATCACAATAATATATTCTTTCCTGTTTAAAATTATATTCGACATGAGACTTATTAGTAACTAAGCTTTAAAAATAAAAATAATCATGTGACAGATTTCGACTCACAAAATGAAATAGGTACCTACAGTGTAAGAAGTTCGACTGCCATTATTTCAGCATGAGATATAGTAATCATAAATTAACAAAAAAGTTGTACATTACAGGGACGTAATGATTAACAGTTTTCAAAACACAGCGAGTATTAATATTGGGGAGTTTCATCACAATGTGACAACTGCGCTTAACCTAACGCTACACAGCTGGTGCATACCACGTGTGCACGCGGCAGACTTGTCCTACGGAAAAAATGTAAACAACTATTATTGTGAAACATTTAGTAAATTTCAAGACAATTGTTTTCCAGTTTTTAAATAAGCAAAATAAAATGAATCGATTTTGTAGTACGAAGATAGTGTTGTGCTTAAGTTTTAGCTCGAATTTTAGTAATTAGGAACTTAACTTTTAATCAGATTACGAATTTGAAAAATATGTAATTAAATTAACCAAAGATTAACGTCATCCAAATAATCACACGTATGAAAAATAATTTAGGTACTTACCAAAAAGCAAAATTTAGTAATTTTTAATCACACAAGTACAAAACAAACTACATATACATATGCTCAAAATGTCCACCACCATTTTCGATGCACGCACGACACCTTCGAATCCAATTTTCGCGCACCCGCTGGAAAACACCTCAACAAAAGGAAATAGTGGTACACAAAAAACACTCAGACATGGTCCAATTCCAGATACCAACTGAATTGCGTATAGCTGAACAGCTTAAAACCTCGTGTTATCCGCCGCGCCGTTGTCACATTGCTCGATATGAATTTTATCGAATTTTAAATTTATTACAACACTAATTATTTATTAGAATTAAGCATAAAGAAGTTCAAAAAGTGATAAACATTGTATTTTATGGAATTCTATGCACGCAGTTATGTCAATATTCCTTAATTAATCGAACTTTTGTACATCAAGTTGGAGATTTTGATAATTTTTTTCTCGGAAATGGTTGGGTTTAGGGCCCATGTCATATAAGGTTTTTTGTTTCTTTTAATGTATTCTATCGCCTGTTAAAATTAAGGTAGTCAAACTTCTAATACTCTGTATAATACCTACAAGCACAATATTCTGATTATACTCCTAGTCTATCAAGGGGCACACATATAAATTTGAAACTATTACTACTACTAATAGATAGTAATTGTTACCCGTTTCTCATTTTCCAATATTATTTCAAATTTGTTGTTCAGTCGTGACGTCGGTTAATAATTACTAATTAGTAGTTAACAACTTGAAATTTGAAAGTATAAATTAATATTAATTATTATGATAGTGAACAACAAGTCTTAACCATGAGGAGAATATTTTTTAATTGTGTGATGACACCCACTTCGTTCAAGGTATATTTAAAGTTCTTTAAAATGTCACGAAAACGTACTGCGAATTAATTTTTAATTAGAGAATAATTTGAGGAACTCGTTTTAGGGAAAGATAGCGGTGTTTCTGTGGTCGCTGTAAAGACCCTTAAAGAAAACGCCAACGAAAAGGAAAGATCGGATCTTATCTCTGAACTTCAAGTTATGAAAATGCTTGACCCACACCCAAATGTTGTAAGGCTGCTCGGCTGTTGCTCGGATAAAGAACCAATATTTCTCATTATGGAGTACATAACTAAAGGAAAACTACAAAGTTACTTGCGAAATTCTAGAGCAGAAAGGTATTATAACAATATGCATGGACACAGCAAGTCCCTAACGTCACAGGATTTGACTTCGTTTGTACACCAGGTAGCCAAAGGCATGGAATTCCTTTCAAAAAATGGAGTGAGTACTAATTTTGTTGCACTTAGGTATGAGTTACATATCGAAATTTAATATTAATCAATGTACCGGGTGGCCAACTAAGAATAGCCGCCAGTCATATCTCAGAAACGAATCATCGCACAGCTTTAGGAAAAAAATTACAATGACGAAAGTGGCTCTGAAAAATCGCTTTGCTAGTTTCTAAAATGGCCACTAGGTGGCGTAACAGCCACGATTAAATAGAAAATTGGGATTTTCTCCATATTTTACTTAACTAAGGTGCATTGAAAATATATGCAGTGTAACCCTTAAACAATGTTGACTCTTTTTTGTTTAACACTTTTTTTCTATCTCCAACAATAAAGTGATGGGGACACTTCAAAACAGATATTTTTTAAATGCAGATTACTCCAGTTAGCCTAATCTATCGATTGCATTTTAAGCTATTTTTATTTAAAGATTACCGTCGCCCCTAGGGGGCGTTATATGACATGCTTACAAATTTCGCAGTTTTTCTTAGAAAAATCAAATGGAATGGTATGTTTATTTTTACAGGATGAAATAGACCATTGGAGGAGTAAGATGTCAGTGAAAACAGCAACTCGATATCTTTCGTCTAAGGGTAGATATTAGCATACAAAGTTTAAATTATGAATTTACGCATCGTGCTGACGTTATAATATGAGTTGCTTACCACTTATAGGTAGATATGATTCTGAAGCTACCGAAGCTACCAAAGAAACTAAAATCTTATAAAATATAATAAATTAAAAATTAATAATATTGAAAACGAATCTAATAGTAATAACAATAAGGTTTATAAAAAAACGTAAAAATACAATACATTAGACCCTAAATGAATAATCTAGTCTAGATGCTCAAAATACGGTCCATCATTTTCAATACAAGAAATCACTCTCTGCCGAGCGGATAGAACGGAAGTCCACTGAAATACTTTGAATAGTTTTTTATTCTTTCAATCATGTCGTCTCTTGTCTGGTGGAAAACACAAGGTCTTTTATTCGCCCCCATAAATAAAAATCTAAACACGTCAGATCTGGATATCTGGATGGCCAAGTGAATAAATTTTCACGCCCTATCCACCTGCCAGGATACGTTTGTTCCAAAAATTGCTGAACGTTTGCAGAGAAATGCGCAGGCCAGCCGCCGCGTTGGAAAAACATATCATATAATATCATATATATATAATATAATATCATATTCTTAAAAAATGTAGATAACGTTGTCCATTAAGGCTTTCTTTAACAATAAAAGGTCCAATTATTTGTTCATAAAGAGTTCCACACCATACATTTACAGACCAGGGACCCTGATATTGCACTTCTTCCATCCAGTGCGGATTTTCATCTTCTAGTACGATGACGTCTTTCAGGGTATTGCACCGCATAGACCCTAACAGCAACAGTTGCATTTATCATGTCAAATGCTTCTTCATTTGTAAGAATCATTTTAATTTTAGGAATTAATTTAAAATCCGGAACACAAATCGAGTTAGAAAGGAGGTAATAAACAATTTCATAGTCAAATGTAATAATTATTCATAATTTAAACTTGTGTGCAAATATCTACCTTTAGAAGAAATATATCGAGTTGCGGTTTTCACCGACATCTTAAGCCTTCAATGCTCTATATCATCGTGTAAAAACAAACATACCATTTCATTTGATTTTTCTAAGATAAATTGCGAAATTTGTAAGCACGTCATATAATGCTCCCTAGCAGCGTCGGTAATCTTTAAATAAAAATAGCTTAAAATACAGTCGATAGATTAAAGAAAGCTCTTTGCAACGATGCCAAGTTTATTAAATTCCATTAGGGCTAACTGGAATAAACGACATTTAAAAAAAATTGTTTTGAAGTCTCTCCACCACTTTATTGTTGGAGAACAAAAAGTGTTAGACAAAAAAGAGTCAACATTGTTTAAGGATTTACTCATGGCTATTAGCATTACGCTGTTACGCGGCCATTTTAGGAACTAGCAAACATTTTCCAGCGGTTTTTCAGGGCCACTTTCCTTAAATGTGATTTTATTTCTAAAGGTGTGCGATGATTCGTTTCTGAGATATGGCCGGCGACCGTTCTTAGTTGGCCACCCGGTACATATTACGTCAATTTTTGTTACTTTCCCTATTTTATTTTTGTGATATTATGAAAATAATAAAAAAAAGAAACTAAATCTGTCCTTGCAACAAAAGATTCAATCAAACATTGTTTTAATGAAATCAAAGACCATTCGATTTTAAGATAGTTTAAGTTTCAAAAATCAATTTGTTTCTGTTGTCAAAACTGATAATCGACTTTAGGTAAATGAGACAGTTCATATTCTGTTTTGCTGTTTCTTAATTAGAAATATTACTGTTATTTATTTTTCTAGTCCTTTTTCAACATTGCCAACCAACAGTGATCCGCTTCACAGAAAAAAAATTAAAAAAACATATCTATCTTTCATTTAGGAATTTAAACCTTTTTACGTTTCTAGATCTGTTCTAACCTTTGTTGGTCTGGTCTGTTGCCTTCAGAAGTTTGTCATATTTTTCAAAATTTTGAACATATTCGTACTTGTGGGATAAACTTCTAATATTAGAATTCTTCTCCTCAACTTTTCTATTAATATAGTTGGAATTTTTGTTATATGTTTATGCACTGAGTGAAATAGACCAATAAGAAAGTTTTGGTAAGATAATCTCTATTATAATAGCAACTTTTCTTATTAGTGTTAAAATATCATGTCAAGCTTAATGCAAATTATTTTGCTAACACGATTTTACTATTTTAAATTTATATTTTATAAGAACAAGAGGGCACCTTCTTGCGGTGTATATGTACATTTTTTCCACTAAAGGTAAATAGAAAACTTATTGCACTACGTAAGTAACTTGAGTTGAGGTTTGCAAATTAAGGATTAAAAGGACCTATGGCGAAGTAGAAATTGTATAACTGTAGCTAAATATTGTAATTGACTTAAATTGGACTTAAATTATTTTTAAAATTGATTAACATGAACAACTATCGATGTTAAACTTAATATAGCTAATTTAGTATTGAATACTTAGAAATAAACATATATACTTTTGTTTTTTCTTTGAAATGTTTTTAACTTTATTAAAAGGAGAAACCTATCAAACTTACTTATTGATCAATAAATTGCAAATTACTATGAAATCAGAAAGAACATGATGTGGACCTATGTTTTTTATTTATTATTATTTTTTATTTAAGTACAGATTAAAATAAACAGACAGTTTATTATTTTTATTTCAGATAAAATAGCATTAAGAAAAAGTTACATTAATTTACAACCATTGCTCTTCCCTACAATATAAAATAAATTTAAATTCATAAACTAATAAGCCATATTGCCATATTTGCAATAAAAATATTACATATTATGTTCAAATGATTTCCTTCACTATTTCTGTACAGCATCGTAATCTTTCTAGAGCCTATTTAAAGCAGATATTTTGTTAAAATTAATTCATTTCTACAAATGAATATGATATTTCCCTCAATGTGGATAAATAAATAAATAATACAGGGTGTTAAAAAAAGAGTGTAAAATATTTCAGGAGGTAATAGTATGAACTAAAATAAGCAGAAAAGTCTTAATAAACATGGGTCCGCAAAGTAACGGTTGCGGAGATATGGACCACTATTCGTTTTTCAAACATTTTATTTTATTAGGAATAAACCGACAAAGGAAGCTTTTAACAAACAAAAAACAAAGTTACAGAAGATGTTCAAAGTGCCCTCCGTCCATTTCCAAGCAGGCACGACATCTTCGTCTCAACGATATTCGAACTCTTTCGAAAACACCCTCCTTGGTTTGGATTTCTTGACACTTTTGATTAATCCGTAGCTGCAGCTCTTCCAGGCTATTTACAGGAGTACCATACACTAATGTCTTCAAATATCCCCAAACAAAGAAATCTAGAGGGTTCAGATCAGGCGATCTTGGAGGCCATAAAACAGGTCCGGCCCTTCCTACCCATCTATGTGGAAAAGTTTGGTGTAAATGCTCTCTAACGGCCATGGAAAAATGAGCTGGAGCACCATCATGCTGGAACCACATTTGTTGCCTCTGATTCAAAGGAATGTCTTCCAAAAACTCATACAGTGTGTTCTGCAGAAAGTTGAGGTAAGCAGCGCCTGTTAATCGGTTTGGTAAAACAACAGGACCTAGAAACCTGTCACCTACAATACCCATCCAAATGTTTAATGAAAAACGTGCCTGATGTCCAGATTCTATTAGAGCATGAGGATTTTCGTCGGCCCAAATATGCGTATTGTGAAAATTAAACACTCCATTTCTTGTGAACCCGGCCTCATCAGTAAAAAGAATGTTTGCAAGAAAACGAGGGTCTTCAGCATCATGACGTAGAAACCAGCGGCAAAAAACCAAACGTGCTTGATGATCATTTATTGGATTTAAGGCCTGTACTCGTTGCACATGGTATGGATAAAGCAGTTGCTCGTGAAGGATTCTCCAAAGAAGAGGACCACTAATTCCTACCTCGGGTGATATTCTCCGCATACTCGTACCTGGATTCTGCTCTACCAGTGCTAGAATTTCTTCTTCTGCTCTAGGAGTGGATACCGACCTTGGTCTTCCGGATAAATTGTTCAAGGAACCGGTATCACGCAATCTTTGGTGAGTTATTCCAAACATGCGTTGTGAAGGAATCTGGCGATTTGGATAAGCGTCAACATTTTGCAAAATAAAAAAGGGGCTAAAAAACATAAAACATTCCATATTTCCGCAACCGTTACTTTGCGGAGCCATGTATATTGAGACTTTTCTGCTTATTTTGGTTCATACTATTACCTCCTTAAATATTTTACTCTTTTTTTAACACCCTGTATAATTTGTGATGATACACCTAATATATAGATATATATTTTTTAGAAGATCAATGCTTATATCGGATTATTACTCTTGATTTAATTGATCTTTTTTTCAGATTATACACAGGGACCTAGCAGCGAGAAACATTCTTATTACAGAAGACCATACGTGCAAAGTAGCTGATTTTGGGTTTGCAAGAGACGTTATTGCTTCGCACATTTACGAAAGGAAAAGTGAAGGGCGTTTACCAATAAGGTGGATGGCACCTGAGTCACTCTACGATAATATTTTTTCTGTAAAGTCTGATGTATGGAGTTTTGGTGTGCTGATATGGGAAGTCGTCACTTTGGGAAGTACGCCTTATCCTGGAATGTCTGCAGCTGATGTTATGAAGAAGGTAAGTGAAAATAACATCTTTGAAATAACTCTGTGATGGTTTTAAAATCAATCCCTTTGGTATATTACGCACCATTTCTGAGTAATTACAAAAGTTTTTTGTTTGCTTTTTGCGACGTCATATTTTTCTCCTCAGTTACGACGATCGGCCCCCGTTTATTTTTAGGTATGAAGCGAAGGGGACTAGCATGCGGTTCGCCTTTCGCTTCCGAAATGCGTTTCCGACGGTCGGGTCGTAATATTTCTCGTTTCTATATCACTATTTCTTTTTAGTTGTAGTTGAAGCACAATATTTAAAAGGGGCGTACTAGGGGAACTGACATTTTAGGAACACTAAATTCGCATAGGCGTGTCACCGGGTGGAATTAAGGCCATTAATAAAATATATCTTATTATTCATCTAAAGTAGTATTGTCTTGTAATCTTTATAAGTCCTTCAGAATAAGAAATTGGTTTCATTCATAATAATAATATAGAGGCTCTTTTAATCTAAAAAATGAAACCCTACTATTAAATGTTTTAATTTGTTGGTAAGTATACCATAATTTAGTGTTACTTATGCCGTTTGTAGGTACCGAAAATCCACTTGATATCACACTCCTGAGAAGAGTTACTCCGTGGATTCTTGCATCTTTCAAATTTTTTCTTTATATTTAATAAAGTGACCCTCAAATTTCACGTAGAAATGCAATAATATATAGAGTGCCTCATTTAAAATAACGAAGTTGGTGTCAACTTCCGGTATAACTAGAAGTGCTGAAGAGTTCTAGATATTTTAGTTGTGTTCGCTCCAGGGACATTGCCATATTGCCAAATTTTTTAATTTTTCGGGGCAGTACTTTCCAAGATACCGATCGACGCAGTTCCCGGTGGGACACTCTGCATAAGTGCATGCCTAGTCCAAACTTCGTTGAGAACTAAATTTCTGATGGAACGAACTTACGACCGTGTTTACATTTTTGGGCAAAGTTCGATGTACAAATAAATGTAACAGCTCTTCATCATCACACACTTGCAGCTCTGAAATTACACTATCGTTTCCAATACTACTTTCTTCAGAATCTGACATTATTTTAATGACACTATGTATAGTAGTTTACGGAAAATTATTGCAATAATGCAATTATATATAAATTTTAACACCACGAAACATCTAAAAAGTTAGAGGTTATGACGGAAATTTTGAACTGTATTATTTATTATTTGTAATACGTTTGCGCATTGGAAAAAAACAGCCAAAATAATCCGGAGACATTCTACTGATTAATCAAATCGTTTGCAACTGTGCAAGATATTGCTGCTGGAACATCAAACTTTCTACAAGAAATTGTGTGGATTACCTATTTGCTGGAACGAATTTACAAAACAGCGCATGCGTCTGATCGTTCAAACCAGTTTGTGATCGCTGCTGGAAATAACCTTAAATTATTCACAGTGTTCTGTAAAATTATTTCAGAGTAATTTTATTTAAAATATTTGAGCATGTACTTCCTTGCTAGAAAGCCACAATTATGACGATATGATTGTGTCATCATGTACGAAATCATAAGATTGTCATATTAGTAAATGAGAAATTAATGTTCATTCAATTATCAGCAAGGCATATATCAATTTGCCTAATCTTTCTCAACAAAAATTAAAATTTTCAGAAACTAATGGAAAGATAAAAAAAAGAAAATATAATTGAAGGACGTTGAAAAGATATTTTTTCCATTTAAAATTTAGAGTGTGACCAAAACAACCGAGCTAAATTTTAATGTATGATTCTAGGTTATAAATAAACAAAAGGGTTCCTAAAAATATAGACCCAGAAACATTTTGTATTCGAATTGCGAAAATAATGAAAGTCTAAAAAATTTTTTAATTAGAAGAAAACGGATGCAGCGAATTGATTTCAAAGCGATATGCATTTTTTACTTTCCTGAGGCATAGTTCTGGGGATGAGTGTTTTATTTTTCTTCCAAGATATTTTTAATTGAATTTATTATAATATACTTATACATGCTGCATATTGTTAGTGTGCATTATTTTCGAGACAAACGGCAAAATGTATGGGTGAATATTGCTAAACCGCCAGGTCATTTTTTAAATAAATAAAAATTATCTTTAACTTTATTTTTGATAAATCATTTCTTTCCAGTAATTTTGAATAGAACATTTTTAAAGCTAAAGAGTATGGACGAACATTGTAACGATATCCTCTAAAATATCAAAATTCGTGCACCTTAAAATAGGGATTGATTCACTCTCCGTAAAATTACAAAGGATCATAGAAAATCAAATTCAAATACTGAACTTTTATTCTTGCAGTATTTTAATTAATTCTAACTTTTCAACTGACTTACAACGAAAGTTCAAGTTCAAACTCGTCTTGGAACGTCAGTATAAAATACATTAAAATTGTACAAGACTTTTGAAGAAACTCTTGGATTCTTCTTTAAATTATCTATTTTTTTTGTAACCTAAATTTAGTTTTCTTGTAATACTATTTTGTTCCAGGTGAGAGATGGATATCGCCTTGATAAACCAGAACATTGCAGAAGAGAGTTGTACAACATAATGTACTACTGTTGGGATAAGGATCCCAAACAAAGACCATCTTTCACGGAATGTGTTGAACTATTGGAAAAACTTCTAATGACTGAGACAGACTACATTGAGCTGGAACGGTTTCCGGATCACTCCTACTACAATATGATGAGCTTAAGTGGCGAAAAACTATAAACATTCGTTTCGTAACATTTGTTCCTTTTGTGTATATTAAGAAATTGGTAGTGTTGCTATTTATTTAAATAAGTATTATGTAGGGCTAGACTAGCTAAAACGCAAATGTTTTATTTTGCCTCTTAGACAAGGCTATTGTATAACTGTGATAATGTAAACTGGATAGGAAGGTAATGTATAGGGTACAAATCTAGAAGATATTGCTAAATTGTTTATCAAAGTTTAATGCCACTAAAATTGTTTTAGTTTCCATATAGGCTTCTAGATTTTCCAGTCGTGTTGATATTGCAATAATATATTTGAATATTTCGTCTTGGTTAGTACTGACGAATTAATATTCATTTCGTTTCTACGACAACTTTATGCTATGCTTTTTGATCCTTTTCTAGCCTCTTTATTTATTTCGTATTTTTGATCCCTTTGTTTACCAATCTCCTTTCCACGAATTTTTTCCTAATGTTCCTCTTTTCCGTCTATTGCTGTTTCAGAAGTATTGACTTCTGTTCTCATATTTTGTCCATAACATTAAAACCTTCTATTTTATAAACCAAAATGATATATTTTGGTTTATTATATCTATTCCCATTTATTTTTCTAACCCAATTTGCTTCTCCTCGTTATTCTTCTCAGATGTACAGGGTGATTCAGAACTTATCAAACAAAAAAAAAACATTTTGCATGTACAGGGAACTCTTAAAAATACAATTTTGTAAATAAAAAATCAAAAAGGCCAGTTCGAAAATGACTTAAAAATACACTTCTGCACGGCACTGGAAACTGGTGTAATAAAAAACGGGCAAAAACTTGAAAGAATTTCACAAGGAAAGACATAAATAGAATTTTATAAACACCTATTTTATAATAGCAAATTCAACTGCTTTTGCCGCTATTCTTATTATTAATTAATCAAATTAATTTATGGTTTCACTTAATAAAATAATTTGACATACCTGATGTTACACAGCTGTTCAAAATTTTGCCCACCGACATGTAAACACATTTGGGCCCGTCTTACTCAGTTTCTACGAACTTACACAAATGTTGTCCTGCTTCACCATAACACAAATGTTTCACTATAATACAAATGTTGTCTTGCTTCACCATAAATTAAAACGATATCCATCAACTCCGAGTTGCTATATACGCACGCCATTTTTGACACTAACTACTAAAAAACCATTGTAAACACTATCGCAACGATGATTGTAAAGTCGAATAATTATTCGGAGTCGCTGAGGCCACGTGGCTCTCCACGCCTATTGCGAATGACGCTATAGACTACAGTTGTCCAGCGATGTAATGCTTTTTTTCTCGGAAACTATACAGATGTTACAAATTTTTTTTTACGATATTGACTCCATTTCTCATGCCGCATCTATTCCCAATTTTTCTGGATAAGTTGTGAATCACTCTGTATTTATCATAATAAATATACCGGTCGTTTCGTAACTAGACTGCCAAAATGAAATGTCATGTAAAATCGAATTTTAAATATGAAATAAAGAAAAACTTTTTTCAAATCGGGCGTTTAGGAAATATTCAGTTATAAAAATACTTTATTGTTTTATTCCACAATTTGTAATAAATAATAAAGTAAATAATAAATTTCAAAAAAGTTATTACAACTTTAAAAACTACAGTATATGTTCAAAAATGCCACTATTTACATTGAAACATGCCTGGCAACGCAAAACAAGTGAATTGTAAACTTCTGTAAAATTTACAGTGTTTTGAATATTATGCATTTCATAGCTGCCTTGTTTTACATTTTTTTAAAAATATTTTCTAAATAATGCCCTATCTGAAAAAAAGTTATTCTTTATTACATGTTTAAAATTCGATTTTACATATGACATTTCATTTTGGTTACGAAACACCTGGTATAGCAGCATATAATTTTATTGTATAGTTTTATTTATCTATTTATATTTTTCCAAATATCTTTTGCTTATCACTTCCTAATATTCATAAACTCTTTTTAATTTGTCCCTTTGTATGCATCATTGTATTATCAACGTCCTATCTTTATTTATATTTACATCATTTCTTTTCTTCTTCATAGCATATTGCTATTACCGTTTGCATTTTCAATTCTATATCTGGTATAAATATATCCATTAGGAATTCATTATTGACTCTGTAAATATCAGTAAAAAATATAAATAAAAACACAACTCACAATGCATAATTTAAAAGCTTGTACATGAACAGTCTCCATGTGAATATTTTATACTGATTGTGAGTTATCTCACTTACACAAAGCATATTTTAACTGACTTACTTTTAAATATACGTATGAAATGGGCTAACCGTTAAGTATTTTATGTTTAAAAAGGGTTTAATTGTTGTGGACATTCGCACAACAGAAATATTCATTCACTTTTAAGAGGATTTGATGAAATTAAGCCTGACAGAAAAGTGTAGAGCATTGGACTACAAAACCCCTCATACATTTTACATGCAAACGACGTGATGCCAGTCATTGTTTTTTTAAAGTCCTATACAAATTTATAATCAATCGTTGTTAGATAAAATATAATTGATTTTTAAATTTATTTTGGCCGGTATAGACTATGCGGACCTTATCAAATACTTGACTTGATATTTCAGTGGCTTAAAACAATCAAAGTATTGTATACTCACGGTGTTTTGGTATTTATATTACTACTCACATAACCACCTTCCGGAGAAGTATATATCAATTCAGAATTCGATTTAAAGATACGTACCCTGCAATTTACAGCACGGGTTAATATACAAAGAAGGTGACTGCCGCTTGGCAACTTGGCATAGGTAATTAATTTGAAAAGCCAGCAACGCTGATAGAGGTTAGTTCTTGGATGGGTGACCATCCAGGGAAGGCTTGCGATGTTCGTCCGCCTTCTAGTGGCCTGTATGTCGGTGTTATTACAGAAGCTATGCACAAATTTTTACTAAACAATATTGGGCAAGTAAAAGATCCCTACCCTACGACAAAATTATAAAATAACCAGAAAGAAAAAATGAATTGTGGTGGAAAACTGGATTCATAGGTAGTGGCTGCATTTTGGCCTTCCCTAGTATTTAAAATTTCTTTAAAATATTATATTTCGTTGTTGATGCGGAAATATTTAAAATTATTTTAGTTAAATATATTATTAGTTTAATATGGATGTTTCTGCAAATTCTGTCACATACAATATTCCATGTTATTATTTTTTAAATAACATCTGATGAGAGATCACCATTTTAATTTGTTACAGCAGTTCTATATTTATCCGCTTCTGGCAAATTCAGTATAATAAAAGCTTAGAATTTGGTATTGTAAAAATTCCGGTTCTTTCGGTTTTACATACGACACCATGTACGTAATACTATTACAGTAATCAATGTAAACCTATATATTTTTCTTCCAATCCAGTTCGGGAATCAAAATTTTGATAACAATGTATGTTCACGTAACAAATATCAGAAACTGACTACTATTGTACAAATTTGTAAATAGACACTTCTCTTCTTTCCAAAAGGCATTCTCGAATTTTTACATTCAATTTACTTTGTAATAAAATATGTTTACTGTACAAAAAATAATCTGCCTTATGTTATCCTAGTTTGTAAGATATTCTCACAAGCTCACTCTCTGTGGTTGTTACAAAGAATGAATAACCAAAGTTTAATAGTGTACTCTTGTATATATGCAAGTAACGATGTAAAAAAGTTATTTATAAACATGCATGCTACATTTAAATTATATCACTGTATATTTTGATAACTATTTTGCGTTTTATACTTAGATTTTAGATGCAATAAACTGTATAAATGTTTATATTCGAATTGACGAAGCTATGAAATAAATGTAATTTTTTAAAATACTGGTTAACTTTATTTATATCAGTATTTATCAGACAAAACTATATTCTCAGCAGAGAATCTGAAGTAAAAGGATAAACACTGCCAGAGTTTAAAAATAAAGAATAAAGTTTAGGAACTCTCACGTGTTGTAAATTTCAATTTTATCTCTACGGTCTTGCATGTGATGGTAGAGAATGTCGATATCTCGGGGTATATAGAACATAGAGAAACTCCTGTAGATTCTTGAATGGGTTGTAATTTACCGGGACAAACGAATGTTATTTCATGGTTCGTTTGACTTAATACCACGAGTGTTTTGTAATTTGTGTAATGCGTACATTAATATGAAATATTGAAACATATTTATATGATTGGTTTTGTGGTAAATAAATTAAACGATAATTATTTAAGTATGTATATGCAATACCTACCTTTGAAAAACAATATGGTTCAAATGATTATGAAACTAGATTTATTTATTTATTACACTTCCAAATTTGTTTTAATAAAGAAATTCTGTTTTAAAAATAAATTTAATATTAAATAGCCTCGAAGCCAAGGATATCTTCTTCTTCTTCTTAACCTGTGCTTAGGTTCTTCTCAAGTCCCATATCGCCCTTATCAGGCCTATTGAGCGTCCCATTGTTCAAACTTATTCCTAGGAGCGTCATTCTACAAATCCTGGGTAATTTCATCCATCGAATCAGATTCTCTACAGAGCGGACTATCTACTAGCCTTAGCTTGTACCTATAGATGTTTCCTAAAGTGATAATGTCCCGTTATAAGCCCCGTCACTTTCCTGAGCTGAATTTTATTGAACCTTAGTCATTATTTTCTGCAAAAGACACTCCATGGCTTTGCTCTAGCCTTGAAATCTAATAATTCTTATGTTCTGATTCAGTCCATTTGCCCAGAGCCCACCTGATCACACTGTGCCACACAAGGGCTCCGGACCAATGAACTCTGTTTCGGATTCCTAGCAAGTTCATCCGCTTTCTCATTTCCGTCAATGCCTTTGTTTCCTGGCACCCAACACTGTCTGTATGTCTTTATATGTCTATACTACAGAGCAGTTCCTAACTTTTGAGAGATGACGGATCATTTATTATAATTTCATTTAATAATTTCATTAAATATTATTATAAAAACACAATTTCGTAGGTATAAAATTTTTATTGCAAAACAAGACACAAACATTCTTAAAAATATATATAACAAACTATTATTAGATCCTAATTTCTAATGAGATTTCTGTGCCTGCATTTGCTTCACGAGCTGAGAAATTCAGAGATTAATGTTGTTGCTTAATGCTACGCGAATATCGTCGCCTGCGTCCAGCCGGTTCCTGTTATTATTTTTTATTAAAAATAACGCTGAGAATCCTTATTCACAAAGAAAAGTTGTGAAAAATATCACCAGATATCTTAAAGCAGTTTCACGCAGCTTTGGATAAGAAAAAGCTTTCTTGCACCGAGACTCCTCGAAGCTTATACCTGAACTAAAGGTGTCTTTGCAAATACCATCATTCTGCGTTTGTGTGTGTGTAAAAGTATGCTTTGTAAAACTACTCGTTATTTATTTTCCATGCAATTTTTACATAACGTCTCAATCCAGCGACGTTCCAGCTTATATGTAATTAATTAGCTATGTATTCAGTCTCGCGGACACCTGGAAGAAGGTCACGGACCACCTGTGGTCATAGGACCATTGATTGGGAATCACTAGAAGCTATAGACTCTGTATCCTCTACGTATATTATCTGCTAATTATTGCGAAGATTACTGCTTGAAATATAGTGGGAAACCTCCCTAGGCTATAAGCTTGTACTCCATCTGGTTCTGAGTCAATATATTCCTGCACCCATCCCCTTGGCCGTTTTGAAGCCGTCCGTAAACCATACTAGGTTCCATCTTTCCAGGATGCCAAAGTGAAAAGTGAAATCTTGGAAACATCTTGTCGGATACTTCCATAATCCTGGAATAGAGACTACCTCTCCAGTCGTTATTATTCCTGAGTCGGTATGCTCTAACTACGCTTCTCTCTCCATCACTATTCTGGATTTTATTCAGTCTTTCCCTCACTGTGGCCTGTTGTGTTTTTTGACACCATACCACACGCCATAAAATATCCTAGGTCTTACAATCGATGGATACATCCAGAATGACCTCCTTGGCTTCGGTGCCTAGGTTGTACCGATACAAGGCGACGGCATACACACACTGTGCGTCGCCTTACTTACCATTTTTTCCAAGTGTGCAGTGCAGGTAAGCTTATCACCCAGTATCAAGACAAGGAAATATTTTCCGATCTAGATATTCACGCATGTCTCAAATGTATCAAATATTAGGTGCAATATAGACAGGGTATTAAAATTATTATTATTATTATTATTAAATGTTTAAAACTTTCAGATTAAGAGATATTTAGATCCCGTAAAACGTATTATTTAGTTGACATATTTTATTTTAATGAACATGTATCTGGGCACATTTTTTTAAAGAACAGTTATAACTAATTATTTTCATATTCATTTGTGTTGGATAAAATGATAAAACTTGTTTTATTAAACTTCTTTTCAAGCACAAAATTATTTGCTTTTTACTTTTTTGATTTTTATTTATTATTTTTATTATTTAGGTTATTTCGAAGGGCGACAGATAAGCATAAATGAACTTGTAAAGGTGTTCAGTATCTCAACATTAAAATTTTAGAGGTTTTTGACCAAGTATAAGAAATTTCGTATGGTATATTTCAAATTTTCTAAAGATTGAAATGTATAAAAATCATTGTCTAGAATAATATACATAGTGGTACTTTTTCCTAGCTTCTCTAGTCTGTCTGAACTTTTTAAAAGTGACGACACTGACTTTTCTTTTGAGAAAAAATAACAATTCCTTTTTATGCCATATTTTTTCCTCCTGATTATTTTTTGTATCTATAACTATTTATCAAAATGTTACATAAACCATGGTTATTTTTTATGTGGTTTATTGGTTATCTTTAAAAGTGTAATATGGTTTCAAGTCTGCTAATTTAAGTTAAGAAATAAGATCATTGCTGCTAATCCACCTCCCAGAAAATTAAATAATAATAATAATAATATAAATAATAAACTTGTCCCAGTATGGTAGGTACTGACGATCTGAAAATCAATCGTCTATCAATCATTGATTAAGGTTCTAAAATTGTTTACTTTGCTAAAGCAAAATTAAATGGTACAACGGGTGATATTTTAAACTGAAACTTTCAAATATATAAAAATAAGCACTCTACGAAAAAAATTTTTAGAATCAAAATTTAATCATTACGCGAAGGAAATGCACTAGTGTTAAAATTTGTCCCCTAGGAACCACTATTTATTTTGCAGATTTGAATTATACGACTAAAGGCCGATTCTCACTTGCGTGCAAGGCATGTGCTCGGCACAGGCAAAGCACCGGCTCGGCAAAATATCTTAACCATTATATCTTATGGGTTTTGAGGGGTGTAATTCATAGTATACGTGCAGCGTCTCGGCAACCGACAGACTTTGCACGCGACGTTCTTCCGAAAGAATATTTGCAGGGCATGTGCCGTGCATGTGTGAATACTCTCCAGACAGTCAACTTGCAATCATAGTTTAGTTGAGTGTCGTATTGACAAGAAAACATGAAGCGTCAGCAGAGGCTCCCTTTTTCGTCAGAACAAGATGAAATTCTTATTGAGTATATCAGAAAAAATGAGGTTATTTACGATTTGTCTCATAAAAAATACTCAGATAATGTCTACAAAAACATGATATGTAAAAAAATTGGCGAGAAATTGCAAGAAGATAGGTATATTTATTAAATATGTATTAATCTATACAGATATATTAAAACAAACACGATTTCTTAACAATAAAATTTTGTAATTCAAAAAACATATTTTTCTTTTTCGGAAATTTTTATTTTCTTGCTCTTCTTCATCTAAGATTAGAACAATTTTTACCAGACTGGAAGTCACGAACATTTTTTCACAAAGCTAGGGAAATACTACCTGCGGCATGTCTGTCGCAGTGTGAATTGTCTCTGAAAACTCAGCCTGTGCCGAGTATGTGCCCTGCCGATGCCGATCCGGTTCCTTGCTCGTCTAATGAGAATCGGCCTTAAAAGTACATGAGATTTGTCTGAAACATCTTTTTTGATTCATGATAGATGCGCTGTAATCGACAAATCTCAGTTTGTTCGATTTTTCCTACAGGGAACCTAAGCATACGGTTCTGCATTCTGCTGTGTTTGCAGTAAAAAATACAACATTTTCTGTAAATACTCGAAATTCGCCGCCAAAAAAGTTTATTCATTTAGCAAATTTCAAAGAACTGCGAAATTGTTACCTACAGAAATGTAAATGGCTTATGAATAAATTACTTGATTAAAATAAGTTGTTTCTTGACCCCAAAAAGGACGCCTGCTCCTGTATTATGATAATAGTAGTTTCCTGACAAGTCATTTTTCAGTAATTGAAAATTTGAGAAATAAAATTTGTTTTAAGACTAATTTTGATTATTTATAGTGAAAACGTTGTATTCTTTATTGCAAATGAATTGGAGAATCGTATGATTAGGTTTTCAGTACAGGAAATCGAAAAAATTTAATTTCGCCCCATCTATCGCCACGAATCGAAAAAAATTTTTCAGAACAAATCGTACGTACTTTTAGCTGTAGAAACTGAATCTGCAATAAAAATAGGGGACTTAAGATTTCAAAGTTACCTTCCGTCCCACCTACAAGGAGTGAGGAGAGGGACTAATTGACTATAGACATTTTTTTGTAGAGATTATTAAAAGGTGTAAGTTAAAAAATCATTCGGTATAAGTATTAATTAATTTTATTAACTTGTATTTCAAATTCAAATTCTGTCGAACAGTTGTATAATGATGTTAAATAATGTAGGTACCTATCTCACAATATATTGAAATCAAACAAAAAAAATGGTTGTAATAGTTTTTATTATTAAATATTTCTCATATTTAGAAATAATAGTTATTACAAAATTAAATTATCTTGGACCTGATATCAAAATGAAGTTATATTTTAGCAAAGTTATATGTTGCAACTAATTTTTTTAAATATGTATATTGTTTAAAATAGACTATGAAGAAAACTTGCTTGTATACATTTCTAAAATCCATTAGTCAGAGGTAGAATAGAAATTTAACTTAACAATTAAATATCAGTTAATACATATAACGTAATTTTATTACTGTAGTAAATAATGATACCTATGTACAAGCACCAGCTCGATATTAGTGGAATACAACAGTTAACAAGTATTTGCTAATTGGCCAAATATAAAAATTAGCAGCCGCTAGGTCTGTCTGTGAAAATGGCGCATACAGTTTTTACAAAATTATCTCTAGCAGAATCTTCCAAAGTCTGATTATCTTTGTCATTGAATAGAATATGTGGAACGTATTCCAAACTGGGATATAAACTGTCAGTTACATCTCCATAATGAGCAAAGAGTTCGTCGCCTTCCTCGCCATTTGCGCATCTCTTAATGGTTTCCCAAGACAGCTCTTTCTTATATGCACACTATAAAAGAAATAAGTACAGTTAAATTGATGGATTGAATTTATTCGTATTCGTGTCGAGTCGGCAAAAACACTGTGTTCATCAATATACACCCACAACGCTCACATACTCTCACGAATTCTTTAAAAGTGAAGAGAAATTATATATTGACGGTACAAAAACATACATAGTAAAAGTAAACATACTACGGAGGAAATGTATTATTAGATTTTGATCAATATCAATATGAGACGAGCATTATTCTATCCAACCACCGTTAGAAACGCTAAAAGATGCCAGACACTGCCGTTCGTTCTCTAAAATTAAAAACTGTATTTTAAAAGTCACCTATAAAATTTTATGAAAATGTAATATAAAATTTTATGTTTACATTGTGTTACACTGAGGTATTTTTTGATGTTAGAACTGCGAAATAAAATTTATTAAATATTAAGTAAATTAGATACGTCTAGTGTAAAAATATTTTGACAAGCTAAAAATTTTAGGTAATTTTATAAAACATTATAGTCCAGTTGGTAGAGGTTCGGCCTGTGTCAAACCTTGATAACCCGGAAATGACTACACAGGCCTACTTTAAATGATGAGTACAATAACATTTAATAACAATTTAATCGTGAACATTTTTTTTTAGTAGTTTTCTTTAAATGCTTGCTTTTGGTTTGTGCATATTTACACTATGTATATACCAAATTTCAAGTGTCCTCAAAACTTCAAACAAATTTGGCAAAGCATCGAGTTTCAGATGCCGATGGATGTATAAAACCTTATAGAACAAAAAGTTCTCCTGATTTTCAGCTTTAGCGTCATTATTGTATATATATTGAACTAAGTATAGCTTTCGAAAGTTTTATCATTTTTTGTTTATATAACTGACATTTTTACAGCAACTTTAAAAAATTGACGTTTTATACCGTTTTTTTCAATCTCACGGCTTTGTTATTGTAAATTTCGTAATCGGACCACCACCATTTTGTAGCTATTTTTATTACGAACAAAATTATGTCCTAAGCATTTTTTCGTACAAAGTCATCCCGCTGAGTTATTTAAAGAAAACTACTAAAAAAAAAATTTTCACGATTAAATTGTTGATATTTTTTAANTTGATGTTAGAACTGCGAAATAAAATTTATTAAATATTAAGTAAATTAGATACGTCTAGCGTAAAAATATTTTGACAAGCTAAAAATTTTAGGTAATTTTATATAAAACATTAATAGAAGTATTGAAGTTGTATGAGAGTTTTGGTAAAAAAAGTGTCATCCATGGGTTTTTAGTAGGTAATAATAATCATTTCCTGTAATATACAATTTATGTCCTAAATTGTCTACAAATATTTTCAGGACGGATAGTTCATCAAGAACAACGGAACGAAATGGAACTTACCATAAAATATTAGTTATAGTACGTAATAGTATGTCATGAAGAAAGCGATTGTAGAAAATAATTAATAGTTGTCCGGAGTGTTCCGCGGTTAATCGTCTCCGACAATCAGTAAATACCTTTTTCAAAAACGAAAATGACCATTCAAAATTTACCGAGGTCACACGCTTATCTAAAATAGTCATATCTACTTTTTAATAGATGCTATTTTTAGTAATGGTGGCAAGGCATCAACTGCTTCACATTTTAGTAATCCCACCATCCGCGTCATTGTACAATAAGATGTCTGCCTCTGATCTGAAGCTTGGCATCGATCAATTTATTCGATAAGTATCTGTCGGCCTGGCGTGCCGGTGAACAATCCAGGTTTTTTGCTGAGGGACACTGGTCTTGCATTTCGTTGTCGATTGTGCGTGTGTGAGTTAGATTGACGCTTTGCTTGGTGAAGTGTACGGCATATGTTTTTTGGCAGTGTGCTGTATTTTTCTCTTCTGCTAGTATACCATATATATGATTTATTGAGTAACAAAATTAATTGTTTATGGTTATCAGTGGACTGTATATTTATTTTTGAAGCAATTTTGTACTACAGAACAAACGGGCTGTCACTTTGACACATAATAGTCAATCAATATTTTTTTTTTAACTGAAACTAGCATGCGGTCACAGGGGCAGTACGCGGTCATTTAAACTTACCTGCCAGGGGCGTATCTAGAATAAGCTATAATATAGACCGCCGCCCTTAAACGGCTAAGCCTTCAATAACTACATATGATATACATATAGGGATGGCCAGAAGTACAGAATAAAATTCATATCTTTTGAATGAGTTAATTTTTTTTAAAACGCCGAAGCACGTTAACTGATTTTGATTTTTTCTCATCTTTCGGTTATATAATAATTAATTTTTCTTCAACCCCCTAACCCCCAGCTACCCCTACTTTTTTTTTCAAATGGAAACATAAGGCATGAGGGGGCTCGTTGAAAAGCTTATAGAAAACCGAATCCAGCCATACCAAATAAACAAGTTTTATTTTTTCAATAGCAAGTTTTTTTTCATTTAGAAATTGAAACAACTAGATAATTTACAAAAATAAACTCAATGTCGCAAATGCTGAAAATGTCCTCCATTCACTATTTGGCATTCTCCAAGACGATAGTAAAAGCTGTCCACAGCATTCTGAATGACTTCAGCTGGTAAATTATGCATCTCCGCCCTAATCTTGTTCTTTAAATTCTCAATATTATCCGGTCTGTCCTGGTAGACTCTTTCTTTCAAATATCCCCAAAGAAAATAATCCAGGGGTGTTAAGTCGGGGGATCTTGGCGGCCATTCAACTGTACCCCGTCTACCAATCCAGCGATTTGGAAACATTTCATCTAAGTATCTTCGAACATCAATACCAAAATGTGGGGGAGCGCCATCTTGTTGGAACCAAATTCTTTCATTCGGTATATCTGGATCAATTTCATGAGGGAAAATCACAGCTAGAGCAGGTATCAGGTCAAATGTTAGGAAATCCAGGTAGCGTGCGGCAGTAAGATTTTCTTCAAAAAAGAATGGGCCCAAGATTCTGTTGTTGATGATACCTGCCCATACATTAACTTTTTGTGGATGCTGCGTATGCGATTCGCATGTCCAGTGTGGATTTTCCTGGGACCAAAAGCGATAGTTGTGCCTGTTAACCACTCCATTTAAATAAAACGTAGCTTCATCCGAAAAAAGTACGTCTCGTTGAAAACCATTATTGTCGTCACACCGTCTCATCATTTCCTCACAAAATTGTAATCGCCTATCATAATCGTCTTCCAAAAGCTCTTGGACAAGACATACCTTATAGGGGTGGTATTTCTCTTGTTTCAGAAACATTCGAATTGCAGTTCGAGAAGCATCGTGATTGCGGGCCAATGAAACAGTTGAAGTATGAGGATTTTCAACAAGTTCTAATGCAATGTCTAATTTCTTTTCTTCATTCAAAGCACGTGCCCGTCCAGTTTTGGGCAAAGTCTGTACTGTACCGTGTTCCTCAAATTTGTGAAATATTTTACTAACTGTCCCTTGCGAGATTTGGTTTTCGGGATATTTCGCATTAAATAAATCGCGCACTTCAGCCTGACTTCTTATTTTGTCTCCACATCCAAGCAATATCAAGATTTCGATGCGTTGCCTTTCCGACAATACCATTGCAATTCAGTAAATAACTTGATTTTGACACAATAGTAACGTTTCGAACTCCAATTTACAACTAAAGCGAAAAATTAACCAGAAAGCCTGGCAAGTAAGTGGTGCCAAAAAAACGCAACATAAAAAATATATCTTTTTTGCGTTAGCAGTGATAGGTACAGTTTCAAATTCTTTATTTTATTCTGTGCAAATTCATGGAGGATAACACTGAAGATAATTAAATTTTATTTCACTTGTTAAGTAGGTGTTTTATACAACCCTAAAAACCTTGCTATTGAAAAAATAAAACTTGTTTATTTGGTATGGCTGGATTCGGTTTTCTATAAGCTTTTCAACGAGCCCCCTCATGCCTTATGTTTCCATTTGAAAAAAAAGTAGGGGTAGCTGGGGGTTAGGGGGTTGAAGAAAAATTAATTATTATATAACCGAAAGATGGGAAAAAATCAAAATCAGTTAACGTGTTTCGGCGTTTTTAAAAAAATTAACTCATTCAAAAGATATGAATTTTATTCCGTACTTCTGGCCATCCCTGTGTATTAGAGCATAAAACATATCGTAACTAGGTAACATAGTCATTGACAATATAATGAATGCTGAACATGTTTGATATGTGAACATTGGGTTAATTTAAATATCCTCTAAATTCAATAGAGATTTTTTTTGTAACAAAAATATTAGTAGCAAACGGACTGTGCCATCATATAAAAGACAGTCTATAGATATACGCTTATATGTTTCCTACTCCAATTTACCATTAATTAATTTTTTATAAACATTGTTATGCAAAAAACACTTTTTTTTTAATTTTTTGCTTATAAAACCTAAACTAACGAAGCAATCTGAATACAATAAAGAGACAATTTGTAGGGAATCGAAATACGAAAAAAACGGGAGGTCGATCCATTCAATCGGATAATTAGAAACGCAGAAAACACGGAAAAACCGGAAAATTTAGCGTTTTTTTTTTAAATTCATTACTGTGCTAGCATAATACAGATTACTACTGTTTATTTATTTCATTGTCTCCACTACGTTTCCGATGTCTAGATATAATATTATGAAATTCATATGCACGCTCGTATGAAAACTTGAATTTCTTGAAAAAGGTCTGATTAATTTAAAGTAAACAAAAATACCTATTTTCTTAATGTCTAGAGACTGATATTAAAAAGAAGTGGAATTACTTAAAAATAGAAAAATTTAAGACAAAATAACAAGTCACGCCGTAAAACTACTGTTTAAATATGTAATATTCAGTAATTTAGTGAGTTAATCTCTTAAGATTAAGTTTAACACAAGATATATATACAGCACCCTTTTTTAAAGTACCTATATCGAGACACAATTTAGGGCCAGCCTATGTATTATAAGTATCTTATGAAGTAGTTGAATGTAAAGTAAGTTTAAGATTTCTATTATTTTTCTAAAAAATACTGAATCTTGTCTCTGCTTTTAAGCAATATTTATTATTAATTATATTGATAATTACTCAAAATTGTCATATAATCATAATACTTATTCCTAAACAACTTTTCTGATTAAATTGTTTCAATACTATGTTGTATAAAATGACATTTGAAATATTTTAAATTTTTGTTAACCTCTCGCCAGATCCTAGAAAATTCACAGGTTCGAGAGATTTTAATGAATAACAAATGCTTTATCTGTATGATGAATTAAATAATATTAAATAGCAATTACCACTTAATCGTTGATTAGTTGAATGCATACGTCAATTTTTACTGTTTTACATACTTCATTTTTTTTCAACGTGACAGGTAAATTTGATTAAAAACCAAACAATAATAAAAGCTGAGGATACTGTTTAACGATTTTTAACAAACGAAGGATAAACTATTGCCCATTTCGACGCTTCTAATCTTGCTAGCTTATCTAATAGTAATTTTTTCTCATATGATGCGTACGCTACGCGTGTCGCTCTAGATCTAAGTTAATTTAAGGCTGAATATTACCTTTTTAGCATTAGAATCTTTCTCTGGATTTGCCGTCTTCATTAAGCAACCTATAAAGTTCATACTCTCCGCTTGAGTATAATTTTTGTTCAACACGCATGCATGTAGTTTATTTGCATAACATTCTTTTGGACCATGCTGACATGAAAACTTCCATTTCCCATGGACTTTCTTGTGCTGAAAAGGCAGATTTAAAATTAGGAGACTATGACATATTATTAAGTATTAATACCGGCCAATGCATATACAGTATAGTGCAAATGAAAGGAATAAATTAATTATTTCGTAAATCGGTGACTTATACAAAAATACTAAACCATGTTAATTTTTATTTTTCAAAGCATGTTCTGCGAGATATTTGTTTTACATATGACGTCATTTGTGTGATTTATATACAAATATGCACTCAAAATAGTGTTTTTGGATCAAATGAACATATAAATGGAATGGAATTATTATTATACATTATTATTAAATGGAATTATTTGGCGTAAATATTATTTTATTATATTCAAATCTATATGTATGTTTCCGTGAAACTATGTGAAATATTTGCCGTAATCTATAATTTTTCTTAGAATTTATATTATTTGTAAATATATATAATTAAATGTAAATTTTTTATAGCTTTGAAATTTATTATCTCGGACTTTAGCTACAGTATCTTATAGTTCATCATAAACTGCAAACATATTTGTTTCAAAACTACCAGTTCCTCAAAATACATATGTATAATTAAAATTTAGTATTAATGTAGGAAGTATTCAAGACAAATGTAGCATATTATAATCAAACTTATGTTTTCTTGAAAGAAAATTGTAGCAGGTCACAGAATGGCGTAGGTGGGAAGTAGTACGATAGATGGAGCCACACGTTCTGTGTATACACATCTCCTTGTGACTAGCGACACTAAAGCATCAATAAGTCCCAAACCGACCTATGTCTGGTTGGTTAAACTTACAAAAGATCCTAGCTGTTTTACTAGGTGTTGTGAATTTGAAACAAAATATTTTTTATTACTAAGAAATATTTATATCCTTATATTCTTAAAATAAGTAACGAGCGTTCAAATAAAAACGTGGTCGAAGTTGGCTCTGACACATTGGACGTAGGGAGTAGCTTATAGCGACCAACTTAACCTCATTTCTCAACG